ACCTTCACCCCACTTTATACAGGACGTCACGAAGAGAAGAGATGGACAGACCCCCCCCAAGCCCCCAAGGGCTGCCTGTGGCCCTGCCCGTGCCCCCAGGGGTGGTACCTGTGGTCCTGGGCCGTGTACTTGAGCAGCTCAGCCAGCTGCAGGGGGTACTTGCAGATCTTCTGGACGGGGGTGAGCAGGAAGCCGTCGATGGCGATGTCGATCATCTGCTGCAGCAGGCGGCAGGCCTCGAAGAAGTGCTGGTACCTGCTGTCCTTCATCAGCTTGGAGAGCTCCATGCAGGCATCCAAGTGGTTGTTACAGTACTCCGAGTAGATCCAGAAGCCGTCTTGCTGTGAGAGGCAGGAGACAAGGGAGGGACACAGGGGGAGGGCACGTCAGAGAAGGGCTGCAACCGGCCACAGAAATCATTCGGGTTGGAAGAGACCTTCAAGATCATCATTCCAACTGTTCCCCCAGCACTGCCAGGTCCCCACTGCCCCGTGTCCCTCACACCACATCTGAGGGGCTTGGGAACCCCTCCAGGGGTGGGGACTCCACCACTGCACTGGACAGACCTGGAGAGGAAGAAATTGTTCCTCATGCCCAATTTGAGGCCCTTTCCTCTTGCCCTGTCCCTTGTCCCTTGGGAGCAGAGCCCGACCCCCCCCTGGCTCCAGGCTCCTGTCAGGAGCTGTGCAGAGCCAGAAGGTCTCCCCTGAGCCTCCTTTGCTCCAGGCTCAGCACCCCCAGCTCCCTCAGCTGCTCCTCCCCACACTTGGCCTCTAGACCCTTCACACCAGCTTCACTGCTCACCACCCTTCCCCAAGGCTGGAGTGTTGCAGGGGGTTGTTGGGACCCAAATGCAGGACTTGACCCTTGGCCTTGTTGCACCTCATCCCACTGGCCTCAGCCCATGGCTCCAGCCTGGCCAGATCCCTCTGTAGAGCATCCCTACCTTCAAGCAGACCAACACCCCCACCAAACTCAGTGTCACCTAACCACCCAGCTTCCCAACAAGACCACATCACAACTAAAGAAGGAAGAACACCCCAGGCAGGAGGAGCAAGGACTGACCCCAGAGGATTTTTCCTGCTTGGAGGAGGTGCTGCATGGTCACTGGGAGGAAAGAGGAGGGCAGAGAGGGACCCACAGACTGACCCATTGCTGAGGTCTGGAGGTGCAGGGTGTGTTAAGGGAGCCCTGCTCAGCACTGTGGGTCTCCTCACCTTCAAACTCTGTGCTGGGGTTTGCATTAGGAAGGGTAAAAGCAGAACAAGGCAGAGCTCTGGTCTTGGGCAACACAAGAAGACAACTCTGTTATTTCTAGGTGTCTTTTCCTGAAAGATGTCACTCTTTAGGGTCAGGGCTCCTCCTGCTTGGTCACTCTTCCTTCTTTAGCTGTCATGTGGTGCTGTTGGGAAGCTGGGTGGTTAGGTGGCACCAAGCTGATTGAAAGGACAGATCCTTCCTTTTAAGATACACTGGGCCAGTTAATTCTTCTTTCTCAGTCCCTAAGGGCCCCAGTGACCTGCCCTTGTGGGAAGAGGGGAGCCCAGTTGCTTCCCCATCCCTACACCTCTCCCTCCCTGAAGCAGATGAGGAACCAGATACTCTGCAGACCCACATAACAGGATCTTCATGTCCCCATCCCTCAGTTTCCCCAGCTGGCTAAACAGGGATAATTTATCACAAGTTTATTAGCCAGTTTTTAGTCCTTATCTGATAACAGTTAAGCATCAAATACTCCTCTAAATAACAGCAGGAGTCACTGTAAATGAATTGACAGCACAGCCTCAAGACACGAGGGTTCAGCTGCTCATTCTCACCAAGATTTCTTACATCTCCCCAGCACAGAGGTGGCACATGCTGCTGCTGGGGAAGGAAGCAGCAGAGACTGCAGGCTCTGAGAAAACCAAGCAATGGCAATGCCACCACACAGCCTGCCAAAAACAAACCTGCTCTTCAACCAGAAGACCAACCTTCAGAGATGCCACGAAGCTTTTTAGGCATGTCCTGCTCAAGTTTCATGAATGTCTATCAGAAATTTCCCTAATAAGAAGTGAAATGTTGGAAGTTCAGCCCTGACTGTAATGAGATAGCCCAGCCCAGGATCCACATCCCAGCTTGGAGCATCTCCAGCACTTCATTCTCCCTGAAGGAAAGCCCAGAACTGCAGGACTATCATTTTCTTGACATTTCCTGACACATTTACAACACTGGCCAGTTTAGCAGCTCCTGGAGCACGTGGCTTATGTAACAGCACCATGGGCTGGGTAAAAGCCTCCAGGGCTCTCTCGTCAGCTAAAATGTCCTGTTCAGTGTGCACTGGGTCTGAGTGAGGATCTGCTGCCCTGCTGCCACCCAGACCCTCAAGCTGCCACCTCCCCACCCAGCCCAACAGCTCTATTTGTTTTCTGTAATGCAAACTAAGGGCTCTTTTTACTTCTCTGGACTCTCTCACCCTTTCCAAGCTTCTGGTCACCCGTGCCCTGGTTAGGATGGGCTGTGTGTGGGTTCAAGGCATATTCTGAAGAGCAGGATAAGGTGGGGAGTAGGTGGGGGACACTGGACTACATCAGGGTGGATGGGAAAAGGTGTTGGGCTTCAAATGTAGCTGGGGAGTCATCCAGCTACACGATTCACTATCTCACCAAGTCAGTGAGCACTGGAGTACTCTGTGACACACAACTGGAGAGCTACTGGTGCACAGAAGTTCTTCTGAGTCCTGCCTTTCTCCCTCCCTCTGAAAAAAACCAACCTCAAAACTCCCAGAGAAGAATGGCAAATAAAACTCACGTGTTCAAGGAAACATGGTCCAATTTCACTGAGATGGGGGTCCTCGTTGTTGTACTGCTTCTCCAGGTCCCGGACAAACCCCATCTGAAATCTGTAGATATCTTCAATGTTCCCAAAGATGATCTTGAGCTGTTCATCACTGAACATGTCCCTCCTCTTCCTGCACTGCTTTAAGTAACCCTGTAAGGAGTAAGACAGAACAATCCATAAAATAACCCCAACATACTGAGGCTGCTCCCCATTTTTTCTTGAGGAGCAAGTGAAAACAAAATCAGAAAATGGCTCTGAGAAGAAAATCCACTTGTGATGACACGACCCCCTCCACCAGCTCCTGCCTCTGAGGCAGCAGGCAAAAGCAAAACATGCCTTGGAATGCCCCGAGTCCCTTTCTGACAGACAACAGGTCACTTGTGGCTGTCAGGAGATGCTGGAGACAGCAGCAGGGGTACAGTGTGTTGGGAGGACAGCGCTGGGTGCTGCCTTGATGTCCCTCAGCATCCTGCATGACTTGGTTCTGCAAGGGGAAAGTTCCCTAGAGAGCTCAAGCAGCACAGCCTGGAACAGCCCTGTCCCTGAACTGCAGAATGTGGCTGGTAGCTCCTCAGAGGTGTGTTACAGAATTTCTTATATGCCTGTTTCTTCACCAGTCACTGCCTGGCAACACCCAGGATCCTGGGCAGCTCCTACAAGTGCTGCTGCTTCCAAGTCCTCTTCAGTGGCACGTGGCATCATGGAGAACACCTCCAGACCTCCTGGCGTGGAGGGTGGAACCCTCTGAGTGGTCTCAGTACCAAAGAAAACATTGGAGGAGAACACTCTTGAAGCATTCCCTGACTTGAGAGGCAACTTGGTTTATCCCCCCACCATTATTCAACTTCTGGAGCCTGAGACAAAGGTGAGAGGGCTGCTGTCCTGTGAGTGGAGTGGTGGGAACCCCCAAGGCCATGCAGGAGGCTGGGTGGCTCTTTTGGCTTGCCCGAGCTGCTGCTGATCAATGATGTCTAGAGGAAAGCAGCATCATTTTCATTTTGTTTTCTCTACCCTCCATTCCACTAGCACAAATATGCTCCTCCAAGCAGTGTAAAATGAGGGATAATTTGTCTCTTTTCTCAAAAAGAAAAGAAAAAAAGGCAAAACTATTGTCTCTCTTTCTTCCTTTTTCAAGAGGGACCAGAGGAAAAGGCTTTGTACCCTTCCCTGCACAAACATCAGATCCCACACTGAGTCTACAGACATTAAAATCAAACAGAGGGAGAGAGAGAGAGACAGAGAGGAAGAACCAGGATGTAGAGGGTTTAAGGAAATTCCCCAAAATCACAGAATGCATCTGTAGTAGATCTGGAAACAATTCAGCTCTCCAATGCAGTAATGAGAAGATCCTCCTTGCTTCCACACCTGCCTGTCACACCCCCTGGTGCTGAGCCTGAGCCCACCTGGACATCACACAAACACAAACTGGGAGGCAAGCACTGCCCTGAAAACCCCCTGACCTAAAACAGCCTGAGCAGATCAATATCCTGGCAAAACCCAGAGTTCTGTGTGCCTCCCTGCTTGCTGCCCCTGCCTTGTCCAGATCCTGAGGACTCCTTCACAGACCCTTGCCTGAAGCACACGTGGGCTGAGCCACGGAGGGTCTGGAGGCCTGGGCTGGATTCCTGGCTCTGCCCCAGACCTGTGTGAGAGGGAGTGAATCACTCCATCCCCCTCTGATGCTGACCAGAGACTCTCCAAGGCCAAATACTAGATGCCACACTGGCCTGCAGCCTCTTGATGGAGAAGCAGCACCACAGGGGTCATCGTGAGATGACTTTGCTTGCCTCTCTCGTGCAGGAAGAGCAAAAAATGAAGGGAAAAAACTGCCAACAGCTCCCGTGGCAGGGCTATATTTGGGAACTCTAGATGCTTAGTCACACAGAGGAAGGGCCAGCTGGTGACACGCAGCTGCTGGTCCACAATGCAGACTCACAACACTGGAATAAACTGTCCTTCAGCCTCACCACGTGGCTCCTGGGAGGGAGAACTTCACAGAGATGAATGATAACTGGCAACTTTGGCCGACCTGGCAAAGCACCAACCCCTGTGATGTCCAGCTCAGGGAGGAGGATGCCACCCCCCTGAATTTGGTGGCTTTTTCAGCTGGGGAGCTTGGGCTATGGAATGCCTCCTGCATCTGCTGAATCTAGGTCTCTCTTCTTCCAGGAGCTCCTTGATGACTCATTTCCCTGGGTTTCCCTCTCTCATTTTTCAAGGCCAGGAGGAAGAGGAGCAGGCTGCTTCCCACGCTGCAGGACAGTTGCAGGGCAATGCAAAATTCAAACTAGCAAGGGAACAACCCAGAACATCCTTCCAGGCTGCTTTTCACATCCTCCTGCTTATCTCAGAAAAGCTTCCATATAAAATAGAAAAGAAAAAAGACCAGCAGCTGCCCAGGAGGTCAGGCTCTTCCTCAACCAGCTCTGGTGCCAGCACCACCACAGGGTGCTGGCGTGGGGAGCTGTGCCCTGCTGCCAGCAGCCTGCCAGGCAGCCCCCCCTCCACACCCTGCTCTGGGAGAGCAGCCACTGCAGGAGCTGGGAGAACCCCCTCCAGCCCTGGGGTCACCATCAGCTGCCTCCATCCTCTCCAACATCCCCCGTGCTGGCTCATCCTTCTGCCCCAGCTGCGTTTTGGGGCAGCTGAAGCAGCACATTTCTGTACAGGCACCTCTAAAACCAGGAGGAAAATAAAACCACACAGAGTTCCCAAGTTTTCTCCTCTCTCCAGCTTGTGCCTTTGGCTCGTTGGCTTCCAGCAGAAGCCAGCAAAGGGGAGACAGGAGATTTCTACATGGCACGCAGCAAGAGCCAGCTAGAAGGCTGCTGCATAGTTTTTCCAGTAAATTTACTTCTGTTACATAAAACAATGTCATCTTCCTTCTGCTCATCCCGTCAGGTTTGCTCAGAGAAGGGATAGCTGACTGATGAGCAGATGTTGGAGACTGTTTTGCTCAATGAATGCCTAAAAATAGCTGTCAGACTGTTTCTCTTTAAAAGTATTTTTCCATGTAGTCCCTGAAGTAGAGGCCAAAGTTGGGAAGTATCTGGAGGAGGTTAAGTGCTAAGTTTTCTCTACCCTAAAAGTGGGTTTGGAGACAGTCAGGAGAGGTGGCCAGCCCATCCATCCATCCATCCATCCATCCTCTTGTCCAGCTGACAGCAAGGTGGAAGAGAGAAGGAGATGACATCCATTGCAGGCTCTAACTGCAGTTGTGGTGAGATTCCAGTTTCTTCCCATCTCTGCACCATCTCCACTGTCCTGCAGACCCCATGGAAACCTGTCCCACCAGCTCTGCACAAGGCTCAGCTTGACAGGCTGAGGCAATGGGGATGTTTTCCACGCAGCATTCAGAGCTGTCCTGGCACCAAAGCAAAGCTGAGGTGTAATCCAGTCAACATTATTAAATAATAAATCCAAAGTGAAATTACATGGAGGAAAGCAAAGCCCAGCTCTGGAAGCTGGCTGCCCTTTCTGACCTCCCACCTCCAAATGACCCAGAACACTGAGGTCTCCTTTGATCTCCTCACTGTTCTCATCCCAGCTCTGACACTTCTCCCTCTAACACCTCCTTAAATTGAGCCTTGTCCTCCTAATCCCTATGCTGGTCCAAATCCTGCTCATTTCTCAAAACACCCCACACCCTTTGTAGCCCTCCTGGGTCTTGTTCTTCCCCCTGCTGTCCCCACAGCTCAAACCACCTCCCTGGGGACATCTTTCCAGGAGCAGAGGGACATATTCTCCAGGAGCAGAGGGACATCTTCTCCAGGAGCAGAGGGACATCTTCTCCAGGAGCAGAGGGACATCTTCTCCAGGAGCAGAGGGACATCTTCTCCAGGAGCAGAGGGACATCTTCTCCAGGAGCAGAGGGACATCTTCTCCAGGAGCAGAGGGACATCTTCTCCAGGAGCAGAGGGACATCTTCTCCAGGAGCAGAGGGACATCTTCTCCAGGAGCAGAGGGACATCTTCTCCAGGAGCAGAGGGACATCTTCTCCAGGAGCAGAGGGACATCTTCTCCAGGAGCAGAGGGACATCTTCTCCAGGAGCAGAGGGACATCTTCTCCAGGAGCAGAGGGACATCTTCTCCAGGAGCAGAGGGACATCTTCTCCAGGAGCAGAGGGACATCTTCTCCAGGAGCAGAGGGACATCTTCTCCAGGAGCAGAGGGACATCTTCTCCAGGAGCAGAGGGACATCTTCTCCAGGAGCAGAGGGACATCTTCTCCAGGAGCAGAGGGACATCTTCTCCAGGAGCAGAGGGACATCTTCTCCAGGAGCAGAGGGACATCTTCTCCAGGAGCAGAGGGACATCTTCTCCAGGAGCAGGGGGACACCTTTTCCAGGAGCAGAGGGACACCTTTTCCAGCCTGGAGATGGCCACGTGAAGGTGCTTTGCAGGACAGTGAGTGAGCAGTGCTGCCTGCCAGTAAATCTGGCTACTGCTACCCATTCTAACAGCCTAGTTGTCAATAGCTTATCATTTTTCTAATCTCTAACCATTAAGCCTGAAATTCCTATTGCTGGGGATTTCCTTAAGGCCAAATTCATTTTTCTTTCTCTTCTCATTGGTGATGTTTCCAAATCATGATCCATCTCTTCTTGATCATGCAGTTCCAGGGGAAACCCCCCATTTTTCCCCTAGTGAAAATGGTCACAACCTCACTGCAGCAAGCAGCAGTCAGTCCTTTGCCCAGCCAGTGCCAGGGCAGGCAGTGCCAGGGCAGGCAGTGCCAGGGCAGCCTGGCTCTGCTGGGATGGGGATCCCCCTCCAAGCTTCACACAGGTCTTGGCTTCTGCAGGTGATTTTCATTCTGGTGCTGGCGAGCTTCTGAGCTCCTGACTTGGCAGGACTAGTGCCATGGGTATTATGAATAATAACATGGTGTGTAATAATATAGTAGCAGGCAGTGGAAATAAATACATCCTGAAGCAGAATTGGAGGGATCTTAATCACCTAGCAGGGGCTACGGTCTTCTGATAACAGCCACACATCTTGAGGTGCCTCAGTGGTGTTAGGATTTGTGATGCATTACAGCTCAGCAATGAGTGTAACTCCACACTGCCCAGCTCAGCACTAAATCAGGCTCAACCTTTGCCACCCAGCCAGAGCTCCTCTTCCATCTCCTCCCAATATGCCACATCCCTGCTGTCTGTCCTGACACCTCAGAGTAAAGAGCAAAGGGAAGAGGGGAATCTGCCAGGGTCAACAGCACTCGTGCATCTCATCAGTGGGGGGCTGGTGTCTCCTCATTCCTGGGCACAAATACCACCCCTGTGCCAACTCCTGGGGTCTGGGAGGAGCTCCAGCCAGGCCGTGGCTCTCCAGCTCCAGCCCACCTCCTCCTCTCTTGCAGGAGCAGCAGCAGGCATGTCATGCCATGCCCAAACACCCGGGATGACTGAGCTGTCTCCCAGGCTTCTCCAGGCAAATGGATTGCTCTGATTAAACCCAGCACAATGAGGCTCTCTCCAGCCAGGGACAGCCCATCATTCTGCAGATGAAAATGCCCATTTCAGTCCTCCTCCTCCTCCTCCTTTAAGAGAGGCAGCTGAATCATTTCCTGGTGCTCTACCTGGAGGTAAAATTTATCTCCTCAGTATCATTTTGCATCAGAGAGAGCAAAGGAAGAGCCTCAGAGTTCTCTTTTGTCTCTATGACCTATCCTTAGGTGCTGAAAATTGGTGTCACTGAAGCTGTGCCCATCTGCACCTCCTGAGAACCTGGCTTGGCACAAGCATCATGACGTGGTTGGGAAAAGCAAGTTAAGGTTATTTAGTTTTTCAACAGAAAGGTCCAAATGCAGGAAAAAAAAGACACCAAAACACAGGGAGAAGTTCCTGCAGTTCTTCCCTCCTTCCATGCAAAGCCTGGTGATGGAAATAGCCCAGAGAAATGAAGCTCATTTGTTTCCAAATTGAAATCCCAAGACTCTTCCATCTCTGCAAAGTGTCACGGATGCTTTTTGGCTGCTTTGCCTGGTCAGTAGAAGAGCAGAGAGCAGGAAGGGAGGAAGGTGGTTTTTAAGCAGAACTCTTGAAGGGCTTCACCACCTCTGCAAAGGCTGGGCACAGGCTGGGCTAAAATCCCAGACACTCAGAGGGATCAGCTGAAAGCCAAGGGCTCTGAGTTTAGGGCATTCCCCTTCCCACACACCCAGCACCACGGGCACTAATCCTGCATGGTGCAGGACAATGAGGGGCTGCAGAGGTTAATTGGGGCATAATGAGAAGACCCACGCTGAGGACATCAGCCACTGAAGTTCATTCTCTGACACCAGATAAACACAACATGCTCCACTTCCCAAGCTGGAAGGGTTTTGCTCCCCTTTTTTCCACCACAAGAAAAGGCAAACAGGGGTCACCTGAGCCCAGGGAAACTGTGAACCCAGTGTGAGAGCTGCAGATGGGAAGGGGAACTGATTGCTTTAATTACAACCTCATTTCCTCGGTCGCAAGTTCAGAAGTGGATGGGATTGGGTTTTAATTTAGAGGAATGCTTGAAGGATCTCAACCCCATCATTTTTCAGTCCAAGAGGCAAGGGAAAAAAAAGTCAGAAAATCATCCTTTCAGTTAATACAAACGAAGGGTAATTACCAGATCCAGCAGAAAATTCTCAGAAGTATCAATACTCCTCGACAGACGCTGCTCCTCTGTTACTCAAACCACTCCTCAGTCCTCAAACACTCCGAATCTTCCTCCCCCACCACCCAAGGACCAGCCCAGTCCCCACCTCAGTGGCCCACCGTGCCACCCCGGCGTGTCCCAGCCCCCCCTGTACCTCACAGATGTCCTTGAGGTGCTTGATGTAGTGGCGCTCGGTGCTCATGATCTCGTTGATGACGTTGGCTCTCATCTGGTCTCGGTTCTGGACGGTCCTGCCCAGGCACAGGCAGTCGGCGCTGGGGTCCAGGTGCCCATTCTGCACCTCGCTGGTTCCCTCCTCCACCCCATCTTCTTGGTTCACCCATAGCTGGGAGGAGGAGAAGGGAGAAAAACAGGTTGATTCATAAACACATCAAGAAGCCCAAGTGGGTCTTGGCTTGCGTGGCTCCAGGAGGTGCTGGATCAACAATGATCAGTGCCCTCTTTTCAGCAATGATGTGGTGTCCACCACAGCTCACAGCCCAGGCAGACCAGGTTTATACTGGTGCAACCTGCCCACAGTGTTCTCCACACACTGCCAGGCTCCTCCTAAAGGGATTTCAAGTGTTGACAGCTCTGATCCCAAATATAAAACCATAGCAAGGACCTCTAGGATCAAGTCCAGCCTTCATCCCAACATCTCCCTAACCACTAGCCCATAGCCTCAAGTGCTACATCTACTCATTTTCTAAACACCTCCAGGGATGGTGACTCCACCACCTCCCTGGGCAGCACAAGCTAAAGAGTCATGCCCAAGGGTAACTGGACTGGTGGATACTCTCAGCTGCTCTGAACCCAGATGCACGATGAAAACCAGACCAACCTAAAGTCAACTTGAGTTCCCAGTGGAGCACACTGCCTGTCCCAGCTCCCCACACCACCAGCTGGGGTCTGTCCCTCTGGGAGGGGGGAAAAGCCCTTTACAGGTGACTGATTGAAGAAGGACAAAACACATTTGGTTCAGGAACCTGGATAAACATGAACATCAGGCTGATGGGGTCGTGGCAATGGGTTCTCTGTGAACTTCCCAGGCCAGGCTCTGTGGTTGAGCCTTGATTTCCAGTTCACAGCAGCTTTCCTCATCATTTCAGATGAAGAACCTTTCCCTCTCAGGCCCCATCTCATCATCCTGATTGTGATCCCAAAAAAGGCAGCAAGATCAGACTGGCTGAGTAAGTCTCCTGCCTCCTGGGGGGGGCTGAGGGCAGCTCTGGCCAGGATGAAGCACCCCTGGGCACTGAACACTCCAAATTGCAAAAAGCAGTGGAAAAGGATCACCCATCTCAGCATCCTGATTGTGATCCCAAAAAGGCACCGAGATCAGATTGGCTGAATAAGTCTCCTGCCTTCTTGGGGGGGGGGCTGAGGGCAGCTTTGGCCAGGATGAAGCACCCCTGGGCACTGAACACTCCAAATTGCAAAAAGCAGTGGAAAAGGATCACTGCACTTGCAGCACGCTCAATTTTCTTCCCCTTGTCAAATAAAAACCATATGTTGAATTTGTAAACTAAAAGATAATGCTGCTCCTTGTCCTGGTGGCTTTGACCAAGTCCCTGCTCTGCACATGGGTCCAATGCCTCCTTTTATCACCTTTTCTTGCAAATAAAACCTCTTAAAATCCCACAATCCCAGCAGGGTGGGGTTGGGAGGGACCTCTGGAGGATCTCCTCCAACCCCCTGCTCCAGCAGCTCACCCCCAGCAGGGTGCCCAGGGGCACAGCCAGGAGGGTTTGGGATCTCTCCAGAGCAGGAGACTCCACAGCCTCTCTGGGCAGCTGCTCCAGGCTCTGCACCCTCCCAGCAGAGAAGTTTCTCCTCCTGCTCAGGTGGCACCTCCTGGGTTCCAGTTGGTGCTCGTTGCCCCTTGTCCTGTCCCTGGGCACCACTGAAAAGCAACTGGCCCCCAAATAACTCTGACCAACTCCAATTAGGCTCAGTGCAGTTTGTAAACAAAGATTAAATAAAGCTTCATCTGGGCAGAAATACTCTTCTCCTACCCAGGTCACCTTGGTATGACAGGAAGCAGCTTTTCTCCTCAGCATTTAGAGCTCCACACTCTGGAGACTTTCAGGCATAAAACTGAATCCAGGTACAGACAGTGACCTGTCCACACAACAGGTATGGAAATCAAACTGTGTCCTCAGCCTGACCACTCTGTCTGCTCTTCAGTGCCAGTAGTTTCTAGGACTTTCCCATTCTTCAGCTTCAAGTTGGTTTTGAACAGACTGTAAAGGGCTGTGAACCTGGAAATCAGTGAATTAAACCCCCCCAAACCTGCTTTCCAGGGCAGGAGAACCAGTGCTGACCATCTGCCTGAACGAGATGCTGGGCCAGGATGGATCTGGGTGTCCTCTCTGCTCTGCCCACGTGATGTTCCCTGTCCCCCCAGCCTGCCCTGCCAATGCAGGACCTCCTTTTGCACATCAGGAGATCAGAGGGACAGTTTCAGATGCAGTGACCACAGCCAGGCCCAGCTCTGGCAGTTTGGAGACAGGGAAACCCCTGGGAGATGCAGCACACACGTTAGAGGTTGTGTAGATACAGTGCCCAGGGATGTGGTGAGCAGTGGACTTGGTGGAGTCAGGCTGATGGTTGGACTTGGGATCTTAAAGGTCTTCTCCAACCTAAATGATTCTGACTGGATGCCTGGGAGCAGCTCTACACACCTTTCTCCAGGTCCTTCCCACAGCATGGGGCTCTCCACTGTGGCATCTGCTGCAAAGATGGACTAGGCCACATTGCCTCCCAGTTGTGGGGCTGCACCTGGACCCCTGGAAGGGTTTTTTTGTAGGATTTCCATCAGCACTGGGAGGCCTGACTGAGCCCTGGGGCACTGTGAGTGATCTAACCACACCCAAAGACAGAGGATCCAGCAGGGAAACCTTCTCCTGGCACACTGAAAGGAACTTCAGGGAAACAACCCAAAAACCAGTTAGAAACTGTGTCTGCTCTGAAGAGGTTTCGTGGTGACAGCAACGTGCAAGGACAGGGGTTTAGGCTGAAGAACAGAAGCCCAAGTGCTGCTTAGAATCACAGAATCACAGAATCCTTTAGGTTGGAAGAGACCTTTAAGATCATCAAGTCCAACCATCATCACAGGACTGCCAGAGGGACCTGGGGGCCAACTCAGTTCCATCAGAGACACTGGTTTCAGTGGGGGCTCTGCTGTGGAAACCTGGGGGCCACCCACAGGAGAGAAAACAGGCCAGGCTTGGGGAGGGCAGCATGGCACGGGGAGTCCTCTGAGGAACACAACCTCGTGGCAGCTCCACTGGCAGCCTGAATCAAATCCCATGGGCTGAAGCTTGAAAGAACTTCCCATCCTTCCTTCCTGCTACTCTGAAAAGGGTTTTTTGTAGCTCTCCCAAGCCCAACTGGAAGAACTTGTCACCAACCTTCAGGAGACCCCAGGCAGCTTGTCCACAGAGGGTAAATTTTAGAGCTGGACCTCCTGGGGTCAAATGATTGTGAGGAAAATTCAAGTTTAATCTCAAAAATAAAGGAGGAAAGATCTAATTGGGTTTAGATCTACCTTTTGTGGGCTGCAGGAACACTGCCTGCTTCCAGATCTGGCAATCTCAGGAGTCCTGCATCTTCCTTAATGAAATTTTCACTCCTTCTTGCTAGGATTCATGTTCCCCCCCAAAAAAACCCAGTTCTACCCCAGCTGACTTCTGCTGTAGATGAACACCAAGTGATTTTATCAGCACCAGGGGAAGCTGATGTTCCACCCCACGCTCTCCAGCCTCTGCTGCTGACAGGATTAATCCCATTGTGCTCTTCAAACACTCCTGCTTTCTGTCTTCACCTCTCAAGCTGTCCATAATTCAAGCAAGGATCATTCTTCCAGGGGATCATCTGAAGTTTGGACCGTGACTCACAGAAGATGAGGAGCATTGGTAGCTCTGCTGCTGGCCTTGGGCCCAGCCCTTGAACTGATGGAGGCTCTCCCCACCTACCCATGGGGAGACCATTGACCTCATGGAGGACATTTTTAATGACTATTTTTGAGGTTGACAGACTTTACATTTTACCACCCAGTCCTCCCTGCTCAGGATGGGTGGCTGCCACCCTGGGAAGCTCCTGTAGGGGCTTTCCACAGAGCAGAGATGGGACTTCAGGGCCCTGGCAGCTCAGCCACCAGCTTGGATTTCAAGTCTCTCTCATCCCCTGCCCTGTTCTCCTCAACAATTAGGGGCAGTGGCTTGGCACAGACAGGACTTTAGGGTAGCAGATTAAATCCCTGCCTCCAATGCCACCTTTTTATTTTAAAAAGAATAACTAATAACAGCTGTTACAACAACCATCAGCAACCCTACAATAATAAATCACCCTTTGGTGCCTGGAGAAACACCTCTGCAATGCCAAATAAAAATCACAAGCTCTGAAATAATCCAGCACTGCGTGGGTCTCCCCCACACCACGAATGCCAAAACCACCCAGCTTGTCCTGAGAACCATCTCAAACACTTTGCAGGAAGAATGAACTCAAAGCAGGCAACAAAAAGCAGAGAGAGAGAGAGAAAAAAACC